AGAGAGAGTCAGAGATAGAGAGAGTCAGAGATAGACAGAGACTGAGACAGAGACTGAGACAGAGAGAGCGACCGAGACAGTGACCGAGAGAGACCAAGAGAGAGAGAGACCGAGAGAGAGAGACCGAGAGAGAAAAGCAAGGTCCTAGTGATTGTTTTTCTGGAGAACCCTAACACAATGGCACACCTCGAAAGAGTGTTTTCTAAACCCCATTTATTCACACATCACTGTGACTCTATTACCTCTACTCTTATTTCCTTAATATTTGTCTTTAAACCATCTTATTCTTTTACATTAAAACAAAGGTACATATCAGTACCATAAACAGAAAAGATCAACACAAAAACATAACAAAAACAAAATGATGAGCTTAAAGTCTAGCCTGACGCCATCACCTGCCAAAGACTTGAAGTCTGCCTGTCATTCTCTTTTTATAGTGAAGGACTTCAGCAACTGTCTGGAGGCATTACCGAGGGGGCAGCGCTCAGCTAAAATTAGGTAAATGAAAGGACTAAAAAGGGAGTCACTCAACTTCTTAAAGGGCAAAAGATTTGAATAAACAGTTCTCTACACAAGATATGAAAATGGTCAATACATACACAAACGATGCTCACCATCATTCATTAGTCATTAGGAAAATACAAATCAAAACCACAATGAGATAGCACTTAAAACACACTAGGCTGAAATTTTTAAAACAGACAATAAAACGTGTCATCAAGGATGTGAAAAAGCTGGAACCTTCATGCATTGTTGGCAGCACTGAAGAATGGTGCGGCAGCTTTGGAAACAGTTTGGCAATTCCTCAAAATGTTAAACAGAATTATCATATGAATTGGCAATTTCACTTCTAGGTATATAGCCAAGAGAAATAAAAATATGCAACCACACAAAAACTTGCACATAGCATTAATCATAGAGTCAAAATGTGAAAACAACCTAAACATTCCTCAACAGATGAATGAATAAACAAAATGTGATATATCCATACAGTGAATTTTTTTTTCTTTTTCTTTGAGTCAGGGTCTTGCTCTGTCACCCAGGCTGGAGCACAGTGGTACGATCATGGCTCAATGCAGCCTCAATCTCCTGGGCTTAAGATAGAAAAATGACTAAAGTAAAAAATAGTTTTTAAAATGCTGGAGAGGATTCAGAGGAGTGTGATTATTCATACATTGTTCATGGAAATGTAAAATGGTACAGTAACTGGAAAATAATACGGCAGTTTCTTTTAAAACTAAAAATGGATTGACCATACAATCCAGCAAGTAAATTGGACATTTATCATACAGAAATGAAAACACATTTTCACCAGAAACTAGTACACAAATGTTCCCCGTAGCTTTATTTGTAACAGCCAAAAAACTACAAACCATCCAAATATCTTTCAACGGGTGAATGGAAAAAAAAAAAAATCTTTGGTACAGGCATTGCTATGGATTGCCACTCAGCGATAAAAAGGAGCCAACTATTGATACATGTTTGTCATGTATATGAACCTCAAGGAAGTTGTGCTGACTGAGAAAAGCCAACTTCAAAAAGATACATACATACTGCATGTTTCCATTTATGTAATATTCGTGAAATGACATAATTTTAGAATGCAGAACAGGTTAGTGGTTTCCAGAGGTTAGAGATGTTGGGGAGAGGGGGTTGGGTGTGGCCATAAAGAGGAAGCAGAAAGGAACCTTGTGGTGATGGTACAGTTAAGTATCTTGATTGTGGTGGTAGTTACACAAAGCTACACATGTAATAAAATTTCATGCAACTACACACACACACACACACACACACACACACACACACACACACACGAGTACCTGAATAACGACTGAACTTTGAATAAGGTCTATAAATATTAATTTCCTGATTTTGATCTTGTAACATAATGAGGCAGGATGTTAACATTGGAGGAGGCTGGGGGATGGGTTCATGGAACCTCTCTGCAGAGAGAAAGTTACAAAATTACCTCTTTCTCTCTGCAGAGAGAAAGTTACAAAGTTACCTCTTTGTTTATCTTTGCAGAGAGAAAGTTACAGTTACCTCTGTAACGTTTTGTGAATTTGTAATTATTTCAAAATGAAGTTTTGGGCCAGACACAGTAGCTCAGCCTGTAATCCCACCACTTTGGGAGGCAGAGGTGTGAAGACTGCTTGAGCACAGGAGTTGGAGAACAGCCTAGGCAACATGGCAAGACCCTGTCTCTACAAAATTTAAAACAGCCTGGTGTGGTGATGTGCGCCTGTGGTTCCAGCTACTCAGGAGGCTGCGGTGGGATATCTGAAGTGGGAGGATGGCTTGAGCCCAAGAGGTCAAGACTGCAGTGAGCTGAGTGCATGCCCCTGCACTCCAGCCTGGGAAACAGAGTGAGACTGTCAAAGAAATAAAAATAAAAATAATAAAAAGCAAAATAGAGATTTTGAACAACCTCATTGAATTCTCTAATTTCCCATCCACAGGTGTGAAAGCTAATCCTTCACTCTCAACACCAGATAATAATAATAATAAGCAACATTTATTGAGTGCTGCCTCTCTACCAGGTACTTCATTTACAACTTTCCATGGCAGGTCTAATTTACTCCTCATGCCAGCTCTATTATTATTTCTATTTTAAAGCTAAGGAAACTGAGAATTACAGAGGTTAATGGCTATGGCCAAAGTTATGTGTTAAGAGGGCAAGCTTCCCACCCAGGTACTCAGACCCCAGAACACATGCACTGTGAAATCACCAGACTAAAAATGCACCCACTTGTCTTAGCCCAATGCATCAGGCTGAGATTTCATTATTCCCTACCTGAACCAGAAATTAATACAGAAGCCTGTTGGCCCATCCCCCCTCCCAGACCCAAGGAGAAGAAAGTAATCACACCATACATGCTTGAATGGTAAACCACCGCAAACAGAAGGCAAGTCCCCAGTTCCTTTATGCGAAGATTTTAACTATTGTCTCTAGCTTGAATTCATAAACATTTGGTGCTATGGGTGAAATAATCAAGTACCAACTTACAAGTATTTCAGTACCTGCTATGTATTTGCCAGAGCATATTATAGAAAAAACATTAATTTGGAAATACCTGTGTTACTATCTGTATTAATCTGTTTTTACGCACCGCAAAGAAATACCTGAGACCAGGTAATTTATAAAGAAAAGAGTTTTAACTGACTCACAGTTCTGCATGGCTGCGGAGGCCTCAGGAAACTCACAATCATGGCAGAAGGGTAAGCAGACATCTTACATGGCAGCAGGGAGAGGGAAGAGAGGAGAAACTGCCACTCATAAAACCATCAGATATCGTGAGAACTCGCTCGCTATCACGAGAATAGCATGGGGGGACCGCCCCCGTGATTCAATGACCTCCCACCAGGTCCCTCCTCCTACACGGGGATTACAATTTGGATTACAAATCCAGATGTGATTTGGGTAGGGACACAGCCAAACTATATCACGATCCTCAATCTTTCACTTTCTAAAACAATTGCATTCAAATGCTTCATACACGTCTTTAACTTCATCTAGCACAGGTTCCCAGAATATATTATCTTCATTTCTAAGTTATTTTTTAAATAATGTTTTTGAATCTGTATATAAATAATGCTGTTCCTGAAAAGCACATCCCAAGCTAAAAAGGATCCATTTGTATCACATCCATAAAATTGATGATTTTAAAAAAAAAAAAAAAAAAAAAGACTCTATAAATCAGCAGTTCTTAATGCTGGCTGCAAATTAAAATCAACTGGGAAGCTATAAAATCTATTGATACCTGGGCCTTTTCCTCAACATAGTGATTTTTACTGAGCTGGAGCTGGTACTCGCAGTGGCATTTTCTAAAGCTCCTCCCATGATTCTAACATACAGCCAAAGGTGAGAACCGCCACTTACCTATACGTAATGATTCCCACAAGTGAATTTAGTAGTTCTTGATTATGTACAGGAATCACCTGGAAACCTTTGTAAGCATACTGCTGCCCAGTTTTCACACTCTGTCAAAATTGTAATTTATCTGAGGTTAGGCCCCAGGTATTCTTTGTTTTAAAAACACTTCAAGTAAATCTCACTTGCAGCCAGAATGGAGAACTTTCAATTACCATTTGAGTGTGGCTTTACCTGTGGGCTTTGTTTAACTCACCATCAAATATTTAGGATGGTAAGGTCACATCACCCTTCCCTGCCACCTGAATTCCTTTGCTTTCTTCTGTTTCTATTGTATCCAGTGACCTCTATATACAACAAGTATCAGCAGTGACTGAGGACATGTTAACCCAATGAGGCTTCCCCAAATACTAATAGTACTTGTTTGTCCTAAATAAAGGAATGGAAAGAGTGCCCCATAAGGTGAGAGATTTTGTCAGGACCCCAATACCAAGCGATTCCCTCTTTTCTAAAAGAAGAAAATATCACTTTATTTTTGCATATGTTATTAATACCTACCCTCTCTTGTAATGCTCACTACATCTAGGCACCATGTTAAATGTTTACCTGATTTCATTTAATACTTAAAAATGTATACAGGACATATAATTATTATTCCTGGCCAGGCACAGGCCATGCCTATAATCCCAGCAGTTTGGGAGGTTGAGGTAGGGGGATCACTTGAGGTCAGGAGTTCGAGACCAGTCTGGCCAACATGGTGAAGTCCTGTCCCTATTAAAATACAAAAATTAGCCAGGCGTGATGGCACATGCTTGTAGTCCCAGCTTCTAGGGAGGCTGAGGCAGAAGAATCACTTGAACCCAGGAGGTGGAGGCTGCAGTGAAGCAAGATCACACCACTGCACTCCAGCCTGGGTGACACAGTGAGACTCTGTCTCAAAAAAGAAAAAAAATTGTTATTATTCCTATATTGCAGAGGGGAAACCCAAGTGTGAAGTCCCTTTGCCTAAGGTTACTACCCAGTGGGCGGACAGAGACAGAATGGCACCCAGATCTACAGTGTCCAGCACTGTACTGCCCCCTTCTGGCCATCCTCTAGGTGCTTCCTGAGGCTCCAGGACTGATGATCTAGTGGACAGTCTGGTGGACAGTGTGGCATCGTGGTCAGCAGAACTGCTCCCTCCTCCTTGCTGTTGTGGTCCGGTCCAAACCCCCGGCCCCAACATTCCCTGGTTCCCAGCTCTGTGACATCACAGACAGCCTTCTGTCCACTCTGCCGGCTGCAGGTGAGTGGGGCTCACAGTTTAGACCTAAGGACAAGAGGTGATAGTTTTTCTGTACTAAAAGGGATGTCTCCACCACTCCTGGACACCCATTCATTTTGCTACAAGAAGCAATCACCATCCCTCATTTGCTTTAACCTCACTGTTTGTCTCTCTCTTGGGGTCCCAGTCTACACCTGTGCTGAATGACCCCATGTCCCTCTACTCACCCACCCACCAGCGCCAGAGGCCTTCCTGTTCTACCTCATTGATCTTTCTTCCTCTGATCAAAGTGCAGTGGGGTCACTAGAGACCCAAGTTCACAGCCCACTGGGGACAACCCAAGGGCCCTCTTCTTTGGTTCCTGCTTCCCTCTAGAGGGCATCACTGGTAGTGCAGGAAATGCCACAAACTCCTCCAGGCATCTCCCCTGCATGTTCATCAACATCAGAATCATTTGTATTTATTAAGCCTTTGTGACACACCAGAAAGCTGTGCTAAGCACTTTCCATCATTATTTAATCCTCAGAACTGCCTTCTGTCGCAGATACTATTACTACCGTCCCCATTTTACAGGTCAGAAAACGGAGATTCAAAAAGGTCATAAATTCTTCTAAATTTCCTAGCTAACAGATCTCCAAGAATTAGATCCCAGAGAACATACTTGTAACTTACACACTACTCTCCCTAAGAGCCTTTTTGTTTCTGAAGAGGGTTCGAAAGTTCAAAGCTCTTTGCTGTCAACACTCAGAGGAGAAAGTGGTTCTACTACCTACTTTCTTGCGAAATTGTCTAGTAAAGACGTGGAGAGAGCATCAGCGCGAGGTGCCAACAAACCTGTGTTTCAAATCCCTGCTGATAATATGAATTCCACGGTATATTTTTAATTGAAAAAAATAAAGGTGCAAAACATGGTGTATAACAAGCTACCATTCATATTAAAAAGAGAGAATTTGCATAACTGTATTTTCTTGTATATCCATAAGCTGCTTTGGTGGAGGATGCCTCCATTCACTGTATGAAACTAAAACTAAATTTCTTTCTGGTTAAACAAGGGAGAACTGTGCTTGTATGGCAAAGTATCTGAACAAAGCTCATGGCTGATGTACAAGGGGCTTTTGGAGGTGCTGAGTTCACGGACTGGTGGTGTTTCATAGGCAGCAGTGCTTAGGAGTGGTAGACCTTTAGCTATGAAGTGTACCTCCCAGCATGCATCTGTTAGAATGGTTACCAAGGGAGTTTCATTAATAGAGTAAAGGGTGTCACACAGGTTCTGGAGATTTGGTGTTACCATGGTTACAGGGCAATTCGTTGTTACCTAGGAATGTGCAAGCTTCTCTTCTTATTCTCTGCCTTCTGGTCCTCCCTCAACCAAAGCCGCAGAAAAGACCCTCCAAGATTGTCCAGATCCTCACCACTGCCGTTGGCTTTCCTTGAAAACACAGTTCCATCTTTTCATTTACAGAGATCTGGTTTTCATTTTGAGTTATCAGTCGGCCTCATTTCTTCTCATTTTTGTCTTTGAATCATTTGTTGCACCATTTGTCATACCAGAGGCTACATGAAAGCATTCAGCTCTCCGGACAACAGAACCAAAAATGATAATTAAAAGTATTTTCAAAAGGACCTGAAACTCTCTCTGGAATCATGCCTTATGATTTCCCTGGCATGACCATCTACCTTCGATAGCCAGGCTGCTTTTTCTTTGGGCTTAGCTATAGCTTAACCTCACCTGTGATATTAACGCAGGCACAACAGGAAGTGTTAACAATGGTGCCGTCTCCCCTAATTAGCTAAAATCAAACCCAAAGGTTTCTATGATCCATAATTACTTGAGCTAAGGATTTCAAATTGGTCAGTTGTACCCTAGGATGCGGGCTGTACGATTTACTATGTTAGTCAAGGTGAGGGGGAAAAAAAGGCACTTTAAATTATTCAACTCAGAATCCTCAGAAGTCTGTTTCATCTACTAGTAGTTAAAGCCCAAAGAAGGGTTTCACCCCTTTAGACTCTCTGTAGGAAGATATAGTCCGCCGTGGGTGCTGGAGAATCATGCACTGGGACGGTCTAAATATTCATCATGCAGAACAATTAGTCTTAATCATAGTTAGCATAGGAGAGTCTGATTTCCACATAAGAAACAAACCATATCAACAAGCAAGCAGTATAGCTGTTCATCTATATGTACAAACAAAGCCCCTTGGGAGTTTAGAGGCAAGACAGGAGTGTTAAGTCCAAAGGTCTCCTCAGAGAGACTTGGCAGACAGATACAGACACTGTCTTTCTGACAGGGAGCATTAGTTCTTTCAATGGCCTTTCTGCATGCAGTAACTGCAAGTGTTATCCACAGACTCCGAATTCTTAAAGAACAGAGAGATTTGGGTCCTGTCTTTATTTCAGGGGCCAGTTGTTTTATCTAGTAGGCCATTAGATTAGTTTGATTTCTAGTTAATATTTTTGGACTCTTTGAAAATGACCGAGATACCTACCCAAATGGAATTTCCCATTGCAATTGACTTTTTTCTAAATCCCCTATTTTAGATACGAGCCTTTCGCATAAAAAGAAGAAAGGGCTCCTTTTACTTATACTCTTTATTTGTCCCCAAATGCCCTTTGAAAGTGTCCTGAAGTCTATTAAGTCACCTATGGATGCATCATTTTGTTTGTGATTTTGAATCTTTGTCCTATCTGCCCTTAAGAGAAGATCTTTTGAAATCGTTTCATGTGGAGTGCTTCCTATTTTTCTTACCTTCTCAAGTCCATTCCTTAATTCTTTAAAAAATGATGCATAGGGCCGGGCGCGGTGGCTCAAGCCTGTAATCCCAGCACTTTGGGAGGCCGAGGCGGGTGGATCACGAGGTCGAGAGATCGAGACCATCCTGGTCAACATGGTGAAACCCCGTCTCTACTAAAAATACAAAAAACTAGCTGGGCATGGTGGCGTGTGCCTGTAATCCCAGCTACTCAGGAGGCTGAGGCAGGAGAATTGCCTGAACCCAGGAGGCGGAGGTTGCGGTGAGCCGAGATCGCGCCATTGCACTCCAGCCTGGGTAACAAGAGCGAAACTCCGTCTCAAAAAAAAAAAAAAAAATTATGCATAGATGGGTTGTTTGAATCTTCTGATCTTTTTCATCCTGCTACTCTTAAACATTTTCCCCATTGTTGAAGGTCACAATTTTTTAATTTTTTTATTTTTACTTTTTATTTATTTTTGAGACAAGATCTCCCGTTGCCTGGGCTGGAGTGCATCGGCATGATTATAGCTCACTGAAGCATTGATTTCTCAGGTTCGATCAATCCTTTCTCTTCAGCCTCTGAGTAACAGGCACTGCAGTGCACACCACCATGCCCAGATAATCTTTTTGATTTTTAGTAGAGATGAGGTATGTTGTCCAGGCTAGTTTCAAACTCTGAAACTCAAGCAATCTTCCTGTCTCAGCCTCCCAAAATGCTGGGATTACAGGCATGAGCCACTGTGCCTGGCCTGAAGGTCAACAACAAAATGAACTAATTAGTACAAATAGGATAGTCCAAGACAATAAGTAATGAACAGAATCCTGAATTATACAGGATATACAAGGCAAACTTTCTTTTGTTGTGAAATTTGAGGAGATTCTACTTTCACTCGACTCAACTCCTACTCACAGTTTAAATTCAGCCTCTCCAGATCTACCTTCAGTGTAGAAGTTTTAGGTGAGTATTGTGCTATGTGATTGTTCTTGTCTAGAAAAAAATGCTCCCTGAAAAAGTTTATTTAGGCAGCCAGGGGAAGGAATAAGAGGAGTATATCTGGGTGGTGAAGATCGAGTTGGATGGAGAGAGAAAGAGAGAAGCAATGAAAGTAGGTATCAGAAGGTTTGAGTAAGAGTAAGGTCTTTCTGTTTTGTTTTTTTCTTCCTGAGGCCAGAGCATTCCAGGCAAAGAACTCTTCTGTTAGATGTTTGGCATTTTTGTCTTCTCTCTTCTCTAGAGTTCCTCTTAAATATTACTTTTGACATCAAAACTTTGTCATAATGGCTACGGCAATTCTAAGTCATCTATGAACTTTTGCCATTTATTAAGACAAATACATGAGAGTACCTATAGTGGGAGTATAGATACAGAGTTTCTCCAGGAAAAGGCAACAACCTTAATGCTGATGAGACCATGGCAGGCAGGAAAGACTATACTACAATTGATCGACAGTTTCTTCTTGTGCACCATGTCTTGAATTTCTTGGCCTAGCAGAGCCTAAAAGAGGCCATATGATCAGCAACCTGAAAAGGACTGACTCCAGAATATAAGCTAAAAGAAAGTGACCTTCGTTTATGATTTACCAAGACAGAACACATGCTCATGAAGGTTTAGAGGGACCCAAGTCCAAGGTTCAGCGATTTCTTTTAGACAAATCAATTACCAATCCAACAGAACTCCAACCACTAGTTCTCAGGCTGACTCATGGCGGGGGCTTGTCAGAGCTATGCTTCCATTCCTTTCTGATGATGTGTTTCTTTCTACATTCAGCATACTCAAAGCAGTCTGGAACAAGCCAAACGCTGGGAGGCAAGCATTTGTATAAGTGGATAAGGACAATTGAAACTAAAGCAAGTAGCAGAATAAGAAGCAGATTAATAGCAAGGGTATTTGCTAAATGACACATCTCCAAAGCAAAAGATCTAACTGCCTATATAAATTTCTATTTCTTTATAAATTATAGGAAAATGAAATAAATCCACTAAAGAGACCTCAGTGAAATACATCAGAGCTCAAATCATGTTTAAAAAAAAAAAAAAATGGTTGGGCCCAGTGGCTCATGCCTGTAATCCCAGCACTTTGGGAGGTGGGTGGATCACCTGAAGTCAGGAGTTTGAGACCAGCCTGGACAACATGGTGAAACCCCATCTCTACTAAAAATACAAAAATTAGCTGGGTGTGGTGACAGGTGCCTGTAATCCCAGCTACTCAGGACGCTGAGGCAGGAGAATTGCTTGAACCTGGGAGACGGAGGTTGCAGTGAGCCAAGATCGTGCCATTGCCACTCCTGCCTGGGCAACAGAGAGAGACTACATAAAAAAAAAAAAAACTATGACAATGTCACAAGGTCTATGGGGAAAAAAAAAAACTCACCTGGCAGCAGATCCAGAAGACTATTGCTGACTGGGGCTAAATGGACCTAGTGAGTGTTCCCACTTCATCCAAAAAATCCACACATTGGGGACATCTGTATGTGTCCATCCTGCATTGTACCTAACCACGTGGAACAGCTTATGTGCAGAAAGTTGAAGATCAATTAATGAAAGAGAGAAGGAGATCTGTTGGACATACAGTTTTTATCCGACAGTTGGAGAAGGTTCATGTGTTTATTCAACAAACATGTATAAAGTATCTATTCTGTGCCCATCCCTGGGCCGAGTGCTGAGGATGCAACAGTGAATAAAATACTTTCCCTGCTTCCATGGACATTTGTCTATCTTGTGTCTTGTCCACTGCTGTATCTCCAGCACCTAACAGTACCTGGCACGTGGCAGGTTTTCAGTAAATATACGTTAAATAAATGAAGGGGGTTGGGGTGGAAGCTCGACTGGACTCAGTGGCTCAAGCCTATAACCCAGCACTTTTGAAGGCTGAGGCAGGCAGATCACTTGAACCCAGGAATTTGAGACAAGCCTGGGCAATATGACAAAATCCCATCTCTACCAAAATGAAAACAAAAACAAAAACAAAAAAGCTATAACCCAGGCACGGTAGTGCAAGCCTGTAGTCCAAGCTACTTGGGAGGCTGAGGCAGGGAAATCATTTGAGCCTGAGAGGTTGAGGCTGCAGTGAGCCTTGATGGCACCACTATGGTCCAGCACAGGTGTCAGGGTGAGACCCTGTCTCAAAAAAAAAAAAAGAAAAAAGCTCATGAACTGGTATCCAGACCATTAACAATACTAACAACAAGTATTTATTGAGCATTTACCATGAGTTAGGCAGTCACTGTACAATAACAGGCTGTGATATAGAAAAACATGGTGGGCTAATGAGGAGTGTTGTAGGAGCACAAGAGAGGGACTCCTAACTCATCCCAGGCTTCCTGCAGCTCCTGAGCTGAATCCTGACATTTGATGAGTGAAGGATTGAGGTAAGAACATCCCAGGTAGAGGGAGCAGGATGTGAACAGAATCCATGCGGTAAAAGGTGATTGGGGGAGCTGCCTATACAGCATCTCTTGTGGCTGTAGGGCGGTGAGTGCAACCCAGAGAAGATGAGGCTGAAGAGAATAACAGTGGTGATCACAAAAGGAGTTGGATCTGCAGACTTGGGGACCCCCTTTGGTGGGGCGGTGGGTTGTTGGGGCAGAAGAGAGGTAAGATTTACATGTCTACCAGATAACTCTAGCTTTAAGTGGACGCAAACAAGCTAATGAGAAAGTTTAAGCAGTGGTCCAGGTGAGAAGTAATGGTGGCTTACACTACAGAGAAGGAAATGGCAAAGGATTGATTGGGCAGACAGATTGAAGGCGTATTTAGAAAGTTCAGAGACTGATGAATGTAAGCGGATGGCAGGAGGTTGGCAGGCTTCTGGCTCTAAAGACAGAGTGAATAGTAGGATCATTTTATAAAGTAGGGAACATGGGAAGAAGATAGATATGCTTTGCAGTGAACAGAAAAGAAAAATAGTCCCAACCAGCAAACAGAGCAGAACTAAAATTGACTCATGCAATAATCAGTCAGCTTAGCACGTGAATGAGGTAAGCTATGTCCTACAGCTTGTGATGTTTCTGGCACAAAAACTACCACCCACCTCTCTGCTGCCCCCAGGGCATGCAAATGCTTCTACTCAAGACAAGAACAAATGCTAGTTTATTCTACAAACACCATCGATTTTTATTCTACAAACAATTATTGACTTCCTGCACTATGCTATGTACTGCTCTAGACACTGAGAATAGAGCTGAAAACCAAACAGCTGAAATCCGTGACTTCATGTGACTTATAATTTAGTGGGGAGAGGCAGATCTTAAACACAGTAGCGTAGCAAATTATATAGAGTGTAGAAAATGAGGCTGGGCACGGTGGCTCACATATGTAATCCTAGCACTTTGGGAGGCCGACATGGGAGGATCACTTGATTTCAAGATCAATCTGGGCAATAGAGTGAGACCCCTTCTCTTAAAAAAAAAAAAAAAAAAATTAAGAATTTGCTGGGCTTGGCGGCATGCACCTCTAGTCCCAGCTTTTCAGGAGGCTGAGCCAGGAGGAACCCAGAAGTTCAAGGCTGCACTGAACCATGACTGTGACACTGCATGCACTCCAGCCTGAGCATAGAGTGAGACCCTGTGAAGAGAAAGAAAGAAACAAAGAAAGAAAGAAAAAGAAAGAAAGAAAGAGAGAGAGAGAAAGAAAGAGGAAGGAAAGAAGGAAGGAAGGAAGGATCTGAAAAGAAGTGAAGAAGAGATTAGGAGGTACAAGGGGGTATAATATTAAATACAGTGGACAGAGAAAGTCTCACTAGAAAAGGTAACATTTAAGCAAACACTTGAAGGTAATGACAGAATGTTGTTATCTAAGAAAACTTCATTCCAGGCAGACAGTAAAACAAGCACAAATTTCTGAGTTGAGAGCTTGCTATGTTTTAAAACTCAGCAAGGGGGCAAATGGAATTAGGGAACTGAAGGAATTAAAGACAGAGTTGGTGATGAAGGTTGTGGGTAGGCAGGAGGAGGGAAGAAGGATGATTAGATTACAGAATATCTTAAAACCCAGGTGAGAACTTCGGTTTTTCTTCTGAGGAATATGCAAAACCACTGAACAATTTTGGAGAAAAGAAAGACTAAGTGAAAAAAATATTTTTGGCCAGGTGCAGTGGCTCACTCCTGCAATCCCAGCACCTTTTGAGGCCAAGGTGGGAGGATCACTTGAGCCCAGGAGTTCAAGACCAGCCTGGGCTACATAGAGAGACCCCGAATCTACAAAAGATACAAAAATTAGCCAGGCCTGGTGGTGCATGCCTGTAGTCCCAGTTACTGGGGAGGCTGAAGCAGGAGGATCACGTGAGCCCAGGAGTTTGAGGCTGCAGTGAGCTGTGATCACGCCACTGTACTCCAGCCTGGGTGACAGAGTGAAACTTTGTCTCAAAAAAAAAAAAAAAGTTTCCATTTACCCCCCACTATCTGCCATTTCTTATCCTATTCATCCCTTTCTGTAAATGTGAATTTCCATCTGGTATCATTTTCCTTCAATATTTGAATATTTTTTACAGCCTGGGTCTTCTAAAGACAAATTCTATTTTTGTTTATCTTACAGTGTCTTCATGTTGCCTTAATTGTTGAAGGATATTTTCATGGAATATGAAGTAAAAGGTTTACAGTTTCTTTTTTTCATCCTTATTTATTCCAGTTGTTTTAAGATCCTGTTCTTTAGTTTCGTTTTTAGCCATTTGACTAAAATGAGCCTAGGTGTGATTTTCTTTTTGTTTTTCACGTTTGGTGCCCACTGAGTACTTATGCTGATGCTTTCCATCAAATTTGGTAAATTTTCAGTCACGATTGCTTCAAATATTTTTTCTGCCCTTGGTCCTTCTGAGAGTCCAGTCACACGTGCATGTTTGACAGCTTGATAGCTTCCCTCGGGTCAGTAGTGTACTCTTCATCCTTTTTAAATCTTTTTTTCTGTCTCTGCTTCAGTTTGGATCATTTCTTTTGAACTTTTTGCAAGTTTACTGATCATTGCTTTTACTTTGTCCAATCTGTTGTTAACCCTACCCAATACCTATTTTCTTCAGCTACTGGTTTTTATAGAACTAGAATTTTGGCCAGGTGCAGTGGCTCATGCCTGTAATTCCAGCACTTTGGGAGGCTGAGATGGGTGGACCACGAGGTCAGGAGTTCGAGACCAGCCTGGCCAACATAGTGAAACCCCGTCTCTACTACAAATACAAAAATCAGCCATGTGTGGTAGCACATGCCTGTAGTCCCAGCTACTCAGGAGACTGAGGCAGGAGAATCACTTGAACCCAGGAGGCGGAGGTTGCAGTGAGCCAAGATCACACCACTGCACTCCAGCCTGGGTGACAAGAGTGAGACTCCCTCTCAAAAATAAAAAAGAACTAGAATTTATATTTGTGTTTCCAGTTCTTCCTTCCATACTATATCTCTCCATCTACTATACCCATTTTTTCCAATCCTTGGAAGTTTTGAGCTGAAGGGTGACATGATACATTTTAACAGAACTACCCCAGCTTTTGTATTAATTATGAAGGAAGCCAGGGTAAGAGAAATAAGGAGACCAGCCAGGAGGCTCTTGCAATAATTCAGGGAAGAGATGATGGTGGCTCAGGCCAGGGTATAGCAGTAGAGAAAGTGAGACTCAAGTGGCTATATTGAAGGCAACGCTCACAAAGCGAAGTGAATTAGGTATTGGGAGGGACGCCTAACCAATACCATGATAGGAATTTCCTTTTAAAGGGGGGTTTTGGCACAAGAAGGGGAGTGAGAACAGAATGTATACAGAGATTTGGAAAAGTTGATATACAAATAAAGGAATTTGGGACTAAAGCAAGGCCTTATAGTCCTGGACCTTCAAAACTAGAAAGATCCTTGAAGGGATCATCTAGTCTAATTTCTTATTCCTGATGAGGAGCCTGAGACACAGAAAGAAACATGGACCTACCCAAGCCCTCCAGGAAATTAGTGGCAAAACCGGAATTTAAACCTACAAGTCTATATGCTTCCTTACCATAGAACCTGGACCAGCTGGGATAATTTGAAGCCAGTAAGTTACATGAAGAGAAGGGAGGGAAATGCAATGACCATTGATTGAGCACTTATTGTATGCCTAGAACCACAGGGATTAGTTTTCCTATATTTGATTCTTTACTGCGGCAAAGTAGACACTGCTATTCTCATTTTTCACATGATGAAAGTGAAATTCAGAAAGGGTAAGTAATCTACCAAGGACATGAACCTATGAGTGGGGTAGGACACAGAGCTCTGAAACATCAGCATGTTTACATGCATGTCTGCATGAGGTGGGATTTTCCTGTCATGAGTGTGAACACAGGTGAAGGATGAGCATTTTTCAGCCACAGTCTTATGTTTATTTAGGAAACAGCCCAGCCCAGTGAATTGGGCTCAAACTCAAGATTGGCTGATTCACCAAGGCATCCCTGCAAACAAAGCTGGCAGAGTAGAGGTTTCCACTCCTTTCCATGGGTAAGAAAACTTAGTACGGAATAGGAAAAATGGCCTAGGCAGAAGGGCCTGGATCTGCGGGCCAAGGGAAGCTACAGAAGATTCGGGAGAGGGGAGGAGTATTCATACCTTGGGAGAGGCTGTCCCAATGACACCCCACCACAGTCAATTTCCAATGGGCATCTGGAATTCAGATTCCAGAATCCATGCCCCTCATTGCTTTACCTCCAACAGCAGCCCACCAAAGCCTGATCTCGAAGATCTTCTGTTTATGCTGCAGGGACTGTCGGGAGCCCTGTGTCATCCGAGACTCCAAGGTTCCCAGTCAACCCCAAGAGCACAAGCCATCAACCCAAAGTAGGTATCAGATAGGGACATTCTGCATGGCCTCTCTAAACCTCATCATGCTCACTCCCTGCCTGCTGGGATACTCCCAGACCGCCTTCATCTTTTGAGTGATAATTCCAATTTAAAATGATGTGGGTGTTGGATGGCTAACTCAACCAATAAACAAGAGAACTTAAACTCTTGTAATTAAAGTGTAGGCTATGGACCAGCAATATTGGCATCCCTTGGGAGCTTGTTAGAAATGCATTTTCAAACCCTGCTCCAAACCTACTGAATCAGAACCGGCCCTTTGACAGGATCTCCAGGTAAATTTGAGTGTGCATTATACTTTAAGAAGCACTGGATTAAAGACTACACAAATAGTAGTGAAGATCCCTGTTTTGAGAGCGACACATGCTAGTTCAGATCTCAGCTCCACCACAGAAGTTGGGCAAGTCACTTGATCTCCCCGAGCCTCACTGTCCTTACCTGTAAAACAGGGATATTCACAACACATTATTGTTTTTCAGGATCACTGGGACAGTAAAATGAGGCAATATAAATAAGCACCTAGCTCAGGGCCCAGCACAGAGTAGGCACTCAACATATAGAAACCATATATAGGTACTGATCAGGATAGAATATGTTCTGCTGCTAAAACAAATAAGCCTTGAAATCTCAATGGTTTACAAAATAAAAATGCATATCTTGCTCACACAAAGTCTAGTACAAACCAGCCATCCCTTTTTCATCTTTAGCCAGGGCGTCTGAAACATGAAGCTTCCTAGGCCACCATGTCAAGGGAAGAAAGAAACACAGAGAAGGCACCCTGGCTTTCAGTTTATAATAAAATCCTTTTTTTTTTTTTTTTTTTGAGATGGAGTTTCACTCTTGTTGCCCAGGCTGGAGTGCAATGGTGTGATCTCAGCTCACTGCAACCTCCGCCTCCCAGATTCAAGTGATTCTCCTGCCTCAGCTTCCCAAACAGCTGGGACTACAGGTGTGTGCCATCAAGCCCAGCTGATTTTTGCATTTTTAGTAGAAATGGGGTTTCACCATGTTGGCCAGGATGGTCTCTATCTCTTGACCTTGTGATCCGCCCAGTTTGGCCTCCCAAAGTACTGGGATTACAGGCGTGAGCCACCATGCCTCGCCTCAAATCCTTCTTGAAGATCCAGGACAAGAGGTCAAGCAGAGAAGATCAGGGATCAAAATCAACAATTTCAAACAGAAAAAAAAACAAGAAGGAGAAGGAGAAGCATTATTTTCAAGATCAGGCAAAGCTAGGACTCACACAGGTGGGAGGGGATGAGCACAGATGGCCAGGAAGTAGCAGAGTCCCATTGAGAGACAGGACAGTACAAAGGTGTATTTTGACAGAAATCCACATGTGAGGGTATTTAAAATACTTCCCCTCGAAGTAGAGTCACAATAAAAATCAAGAACCTTACAAATATCAATGCCTTTTCCCAAGGTAAGAATGATGATAATTACTGAGACCCTATAGCATGCAAAGCACTGTCTAGGCACTGGGGACCCAGCTGTGGTCAGATAAATCCCTTACTGTTTCAGAGTGTGTATTTCACATTTTAACAGTAAAATGATTTTTTTTTTTTTTTTTTTTAAGATGGAGACTCACTTTGTAGCCCAGGCTGGAGTGTGGTGGTGTGATCTCAGCTCACTGCAACCTCCATCTCCCAGGTTCAAGCAATTCTCCTGCCTCAGCCTCCTGAGCAACTGGGATTACAGGCATGTGCCATCATGTCCAGCTACTTTTTGTATTTTTAGAAGAGACGGGGTTTCACCATGTTGGCCAAGCTGGTCGTGAACTGCTGACCTCATGATTTGCCCACCTCAACTTCCCAAAGTGCCGGGATTACAGGCATGAGACACCGCCCCCAGCCAAATGATATTATTTAATCCCCACAAAAACTCTAAGAAGTGGACATTAGTATTCAAACTGAACATTTTCAGATATGAATGGAGAGGCAGGTGGGTGGCAAGCAATTAGTCAAGGTATGCAGCTAATAAATGACAGAGCTGTGTATTACAGAACACAGCTCAGACTGTTGACAAAATTATTTGTTGTTCTTCTAGAAACCTAAAAGTATATAAAGACAAAGTCTCATATACAACAATGTTCATCACGATAGTATTTATAGCAGCAAAATTTGAGCTGGGTGCAGTGGCTTATACCTGTAACCCCAGCGCTTTGGGAGGCAGGAGGATCATTTGAGCCCAGAAGTTCAAGACCAGCCTAAGCAACATGAGAAGATCCCGCCTCTACAAATAATAAAAAGTTACTGAGACATGGTGGTGCACACCTGTAATTTTGGCTACTCGGGAGGCTGAAGTGGGAGGATTGCTTGAGCCCAGGATCACTTGAGCCCAGAAGTTCAAGACCAGCCTAAGCAACATGGGAAGATCCCACCTCTACAAATAATAAAAAGTTACTGAGACATAGTGGTGCACACCTGTAATTTTGGCTACTCAGGAGGCTGAAGTGGGAGGATCGCTTGAGCCCAGGAGGTAGAGGCTGCAGTAAGTCACGATTGCACCACTGCACTCCAGCCTAGGTGCCAGAGTGAGACCTCCCTCTCAAAAAAATAACCAACAAAAATTCCAATATGAGAACTTCAGTTAAATAAATCTTACATTACTCAAAAACTAGAATATTGTACAACCATTTTTTAAATTTAGTGACACAAGAAAAATGTTTATGTTATAATGTATATGAATAAAGCCAAGTAAAGGGCTGGGTGGGGTGGCTCACATCTGTGATGTTAGCACTTTGGGAGGCTGAGGCTAAAGGATCACTGGAGGCCAGGGGTTCAAGAGCAGCCTGGCAACATAGTGAGACTCCTGTTCTCTACAAAAAATTTTAAAAATTAGCTGGGTGACACATGCCTGAGTCCCAGCTACTCAGGAGGCTGAGGTAGGAGGATTGCTTGAGCCTGGGAGTTTGAGGTTACTGTGAGCTATGATCTACCACTGCACTCCAGCCTGGGCAGCAGAGCAGATCCCTGTCACAAAAAAGAAATAAATTAAGTAAAATTTATCCATAATACATAGGATATGATGGACTGTAAAATACAGATAGGAAGCGACTGGAACTGTGGTAGCAACTGGAGGAAGAGGTGTTTGGAGCATTTTTTCCTCCTTCATACTATTCAATATTTCATAACTTTTTTTTTTTTTATTTTTTATTTTTTGAGACAGTCTCACTCTGCCGCCCAGGCCAAAGAGCAGTGGCACAATCTCAGCTCACTGCAACTCCACCTACTGGGTTCAAGCGATTCTCCTGCCTCAGCCTCCCAAGTAGCTGGGACTACAGACATGTGCCACCACACCTGGCTAATTTTTTGTATTTTTAGTAAAGACAGGGTTTCACCACATTAGCCAGGATAGTCTCGATCTCCTGACCTTGTGATCCACTCACCTCAGCCTCCCAAAGTGCTGGCATTACAAGCGTGAGCTACCACGCCCAGCCTTCCTAACTTTTATATAAAGAGTATGCATTACATTTATAAATAGAAAAATGTTAATGTTTTAAAAAGAATACATACTTTGCACTGACTTGATCATTACATGTTCTATGCACGTAACAAAATTTCACATGTACCCCATACATATGTACAAATATAATGTGTTTTTTTAAATACACACTTTGAATCTAGCACCTGCCTGTGAGGGGAAGTCCTCAGAGGACAGGAGGTGGTAGTTTCAGGTCGGCCCCCACCCCATAATAACCACCACTTGCCTGTGTGCGCGGCTTCAGACCTTGCAAAACAGCTTCACTTCCATGATCTCACCTAAGCCTCCCCACGTAACTGTGGAATTCTCATTGCCAGATTTGCAGCTTCAGAGGGACGAGCTTGACAGACAAAATCCCAAGCGCATTAACGCAGCCTCCCATTTGCCTTTGAGACAACCCCTGATCCAGCCGGAAAAGAGAGCTTCCTCCAGCAGCAGTGAGTTTGGGGGTGAGTCCCAAATTGGGGTTCTAATGCTGACCAGAAACCCCCAGAGGGCCTGATACTGATGACCAGACCCCATTGATATTTCAGCTAAGCGAGGTGGAGAGATGGAATTGCTCCCATCAAGTAGCTGCAGTCACATTCCAGAGCATACTGGGGAGGCCCCAGAGTCTATGACCTGACTCCAAGATCTTCCAAGCTAGGAAGTGCATGAGGAGGAGCAGGTCTGGGGAGAAAGGGCACACATCCATATTTTCCTTCCAAGGCTTTCTGGCATAATGCTTTTTCTCTCTCTCTTTCTTTCTTTTTACTTTCTTTTTCTTTCTTCTTTCTTTCTTCTTTCCTTTCTTTCCTTTTTTCTTCCTTTCTGATGGAATCTCCCTCTGTTGTCCAGACTAGAGCACAATCTCCAATCTCGGCTCACTGCAACCTCCACCTGCCAAGTTCAAGCGATTTTCCTGTCTCAGCCTCCTGAATAGCTGAGATTACAGGCACCCACTAATAAGCCTAGCTAATTTTTGTATTTTTAGTAGAGAAAGGGTTTCACCATGTTGGCCAGGCTGGTCTCCAGCTCCTGTTATCCACCTACCTTGGCCTCTCAAAGTGCTGGGATTACAGGTGTGACCACTGTACCTGGTGGCATCTTCTTATAAGTTTATGTTTGTTTGTTTGTTCGTTTTTTGTTTGGTTTGGTTTGGTTTTTGAGATGGAGTCTTGCTCTGTCACCCAGGCTGGAGTGCAATGGCATGATCTGGGCTTACTGCAACCTCCGCCTCTTGGATTCAGGCAATTCTCTGCCTCAGCCTCCCAAGTAGCTGGGACTACAGGCACGCACCACCGTGCTTGGCTAATTTTTGTATTTTTAGTAGAGACAGGGTTTCACCATCTTGGCCAGGCTGGTCTTGAACTCCTGACGTCATGATCCACCCACCTCAGCCTCCCAAAGTGCTGGGATTACAGGCGTGAGCCATGGCACCTGGCCCCATAAGTGTATTTTTTACATGCTTACTTGAGATCTACTTTGGCCACTAGACAGTAAGTGCAAGGAGGGCAGTGCCTACATCAGTTTTGTTCCCTGTTATTTCCCTAGATCCAGCCAGGTTCATGGCAAGTAAAGCATGCCAGAAAACACTTGTGGACTGAGTATAGTTCAACTCAGGGTGAAATGCCTGTGTGATGGATGAACCAATGCCCAATCCCGGGACAGTGGCACATCCCAGTAAGAAGAAATGCAGCCACACTGCTGGACACCAACTCTATGCCCAGGTGGCCTCACATAACTCACAGCCACCCCAGGAGTCCTGCTGAGAACTAAGGATTATCCAACCCAGTCCTTTTGAATTCTCCTAACAACTAAACCCCCTTGAAAACCAAATTTCACAGCGTCCCATTACTATAAAAGATCAAAGAGGAACAGCTCTGCTTAAATCAAGCTTGAGAAAGTAGAAGCTTCCCTACCTTCCCTCTGCCCTTACCACCTGCCACAAGGCTGAGGCTTACAGAGGGAAAGGGACTTCTCATGAGTGCACTAGGGAATGACGTGTCAGAGCCAGGATGGGCCCAAGTCTCCGACTTTCCATGTCACTGTGCGTTGCAAGACACTCTACCATTACTGAAGCTACCAGAGTAGCACAACACAAAACACACTGCAAGAAATTTCTCCCATCACAAAAGACCTCCAAGTCCTAGGCTATGGGCTGCCTTGGGTCCCTTGGGATTCAAATATCTGAGAAAAGATCAGCAGTGGATATGAATGACCTGAACAGTTCATCCAAGCCCAACTCAAAAGTCTTCACCCAGAATAATTTTTTCCTTTCTTCTTTCAGATCTAAATTCATATGCTTCCCAAAGAAATTTTTACAAGAGAAACTTAAACCGCTACAGCCAGGAGCACTGGCCGTTCCAGCCGTGTCTCATTGGGAGGCCCTGAGCATTCTAGCCGGCCGTACCCATGCAGGTTCCTGACGCTACACAGCTGCTAGAGTGTCTCCAGGAGGAAGAGGGCGGTGGGCAGAAGTCATGAAGACTGATTCAGAAACTCCCCTGAAGGAGGAGAAGACGTCTGAGCCATCCTTGTGCCACCAGCAAGAGTCACTCCAGCTCCTGAAAAAGCCACGATGGGAAGAGCTGCCTCCAATTAAAGTTTTTGGTCACATCAGAGGACAACTCTCCTCTTTTCCTTTCCCCCTTACCAAATAACGTCTTATCATTTTTAAATATATTGCCACATTTAACTAAGCTTTAAAACTTTCACCCTTCGGGAGGCCGAGGCAGGCGGATCACCTGAGGTCGGGAGTTCGAGATCAGCCTGACCAACATGGAGAAACCCCACCTCTACTAAAAATACAAAATCAGCCAGGCATGGTGGTGCATGCCTGTAATCCCAGCTACTCAGGAGGCTGAGGCACAAGAATCACTTGAACCCAGGAGGCAGAGGTTGCAGTCAAGATCCTGTCATTGCATTCCAACCTGGGCAACAAAAGCAAAACTCCATCTAAAAAAAAAAAAAAAAAAAAAAGTTTTAGCCTTTTGACTGGGGGCAGTGCCTCACACCTGTAATCCCAGCACTTTGGGAGGCTGAGGTGGGTGGATCACCTGAGGTCAGGAGTTCGAGACCAGCCTGGTCAACATGGTGAAACCCCATCTCAACTAAAAATACAAAAATCAGCCAGGTATGGTGGTGCACTCCTGTAATCTCAGCTACTAGGGAGGCTGAGGCAAGAGAATCACTTGAACCCAGGAGGCAGAGGTTGCAGTGAGCTGAGATTGCACCACTGCACTCCAGCCTGGGTAACAGGGTGAGACTTCATTTCAAAAAAAAGAAAAGAAGGAAGGAAGGAAGGGAGGGAGGAGGGAGGGAGGGAGGAAAGAAGGGAGGGAGGAAGGGAGGGAGAGAGAGAGAGGGAGGGAGGGAGGGAGGAAGGAAGGCAGGAAGGAAGGAAGGAAAAAAATTAGCTTTTTGGATACCTTTTGAATTAATTGCAAATTTACATAAATGTCTCAAGAATAATACAGAGAACTCCCATTTACCTTTCACCCAGAGTCACCAATTGTTTACATTTCCCAGTTTGCAGCATCTCGGGGGCTCCCTGCAACCTCTGCCTCCTGGGTTGAAGCGATTCTCCTGCCTCAGCCCCCCAAGTAGCTGGGATTACAGGCACCCACCACCATACCAGGCTAATTTTTATATGTTTAATAGAGATGGGGATTCACCATGCTGGCCAGGCAGGTCTCAAACTCCTGACCTCAGGTGATCTGCCCACCTCAGCCTCCCAGAGTGCTGGGACTGCAGGTGTGAGCCATTGGACCTGGCTTATCAACTCTTACAGAAGAGAACTTGCCACATCTGGCAAAACTGTACATGTCTTTTCCATTTGGCTCTAAAGACATACATTGGCCAACATGGTGAAACCCCATCTCTATGAAAAATACAAAAATTAACTGAATGTGGTGGCGAGCACCTGTAATCCCAGCTATTCGGAAGGCAGAAGCAGGAGAATCGCTTGAACCAGGCAGGTGGAGGTTGCAGTGAGCCAAGATCCCGCCATTGCACTCCAGCCTGGGCAACAAGAGTGAGACTCCATCTCAAAAAACAAAACAAAACAAACACACAAACAAAATTAATTATCCGTTTATGTCTTCCACTCTTTTGTATTTTTCCCATTAGTTTTTTAGTGCTCTTTATATACTAGAAATATTAGCTCCTCAAAGTCAAATTTATTTATGTTTCATTGAATCTGGACTTTGGGTTCTCATTAGAAAGCCTTTCACTACATCCAGTTTATAGAGGAATTCACCCACACCTCTTCATTTGCTTGTATAGTATTATTATTTACATGTATAACCTGTTCCATTTGGCATTTACTGTTATGTATTTAGGAAGTATGGATCTAACTTTACATGTTATCCAAATGATTACATAATCATTTCAGCATATTTATTAGGGAGAATATCTTTGGTCCAATTATCCATCTGAGACGACACCTTTATTATCATATACGAAATTTTCATATATATTTGTGTCTCTTTCTGAACTTCCTATTCTATTCCACTGGGGAGTCTGCCTGTTTTATTCTTGCTTGTTTTTTCATGTAAATGTTAGGATCATTTGTCTAGCTTCATAAAAATCTTGATATTATTTTCGTCATGATTGTGCTACATTTATCAATTAACCTAGGGAAAATTATAAATTAGGAAGAACTGACCCATCTGTAACATTGATTCTTCCTAACCACCAACAAATGGCTTTTCATTTGTTCAAACCTACTTTGGGTTTCAGGGCTATTTTCAAATGTTATTCATATTACTTTTGCAAATTTCTTATTAACTTTATTTCTAAGTATTGTATCTTTTGTTACTATTGTAAATGGAGTTTTCTCCCTCACTATTGTTGTAGACAGTTACTGCTTGTGTATAATAACACTGTTGAGTTCAGTATGCTAAGTGCATGTCCTGCTTCTCTTCTGAATTCTTTCATTGTTTGAGTCATTTTGTTATTGCTTTCCTATGGCTTACCTGTAATACTATTATAATATCTGCATGTAGAAATACTTTAACTTCAGGCCGGGCGCGGTGGCTCAAGCTTGTAATCCCAGCACTTTGGGAGGCCGAGGCGGGTGGATCACGAGGTCGAGAGATCGAGACCATCCTGGTCAACATGGTGAAACCCCGTCTCTACTAAAAATGCAAAAAATTAGCTGGGCATGGTGGCACGTGCCTGTAATCCCAGCTACTCAGGAGGCTGAGGCAGGAGAATTGCCTGAACCCGGGAGGCGGAGGTTGCGGTGAGCCGAGATCGCGCCATTGCACTCCAGCCTGGGTAACAAGAGTGAAACTCCATCTAAAAAAAAAAAAAAAAAAAAAAAAAAAGAAAGAAATACTTTAACTTCTTCTTCTAATTTTTGTGTCTCTGATTTACCTTATCTAATTGCAGTGGTTAATGCCACCAGTACAACATTAGAGTTAGTAGCTTTCTGTGCTTCTTTCCTGATTTTAAATAGCTCCAGTATTTGCACATGAAGGAAGACGTTGAGTTTAGGGTAAAGACATAGAGATAGAGATGAAGAGAGTGCTATTTTATCATATTAATGTAATATCCATCAATTCCCTCTTTCCTTTTTTTAAGCATCTGTAAGGGAAAAAAATCACATAATTTTTTTACTCATATTGAATCAAACTTCCATTCCACAGATAAGTTTCATCTGACCGTGATTTATTATCTTCATACTATGATTCTGGATTCTCTTCACTAATACTTTATTAAGTACTTCTGTATCAGTATTGGTGGGTGACATGCTGCATCATTTTCTCTTTTTGTATTATCCCTATCAGATGCAGTTGTCAATATACACTTCCTTCACAAAAGGAAGTTGGAAGTTTTATTTTATATGCTCTAGGATGATTTATGTAGTACTGTAACTGGTCTTTAAAAGCTTGGTGAAACTCTCTTTGTGAAATTATCTGGACCTGTTTGGTCCTATTTGAGGGAGGGTAGTTCCTTAATAAATTTCTTCTGCAGAAATGAATAGTTTCTATCTTTAACACAGTCAATTTAATAAACTGTATCTTCTCAAGAAATTATCTACTTCATAGAGTTTTTCAAACTTTTTTACATAAAAGTATATAATGGACTCTCAAGATTTTTTAAATTTCTTTTGTTTCAACAATTATTTCCTGCTTATTCTTTCTAATTTTATATATTTGTGCCTTTCCCCCTTTTTCCTGATTAAGCTACATAGTATTTCTATTTTGTTAATATTTTTCAAAAAAAGATTTTGATTTATTAATTAGTTCTGCTTTTTAATACTCTGGTAAATTCTGTTTTTAATCTTACACATTATTTTGGTTACTTTGTTGTTGTTCTTCTGCTTTTAGAACTGGGAATTTATTTCATTCTTTTATTTTCTTGATACAAGTGTTTAAAGACTGTGGTAGGCAGAATAATGACCCCACTGAAAAAGAAGATTAAGGTTGAAGATACCATTAAGGTTGGTAGTCAGTGACCTTGAGATAATCCACAGTTATCTGGGTGGGCTCCATCTAATGACATCGGGAGAATCTGCAGCCCATTCTGGGGCAGGTTTCTGCCACGATGCCACAGAGGCCAGGACAGGAGAGGAGGCGGCAGCAGTCAGTAATTCACCAATATCCCTTCCGGTGAGAAGAAACTAAATTGTCATGTGACTTGGCAGTGAAAATGCAGCAGATAGGACACTAGCAGCAGCTGAGAAATGTGTTTTCACAGTGGGGCTTGCTGTGTCTTCCTCTAGCAGCCCCACGAGAAGAACAGGCCTGGCTAGACTACTAGTCCAAAAGGGATAAGAGACTCGTGAGGCAGAACCACTCCAGCCGACCTGACAGGCACAGTGAACAATGCAGCATGGTGGACAAAGGGATGGACCGCTGGAGAGAGGGTCAGCATATGTCCTCCCTCCTCCCTGCCTTTGTGGTTTAGTCCAAACCCTACTGTCCCCCACATTCTCTGGTTGCCCCACTCTGTGACATCACAGACAGCCTCCTGTCCACTCTGCCAGCTGCAGGTGAGTGAGGCTCATCCAGGCGTCCCCAAACTTTTTACACAGGGGGCCAGTTCACTGTCCCTCAGACCGTTGGAGAGCTGCCACATACTGTGCTCCTCTCACTGACCACCAATGAAAGAGGTGCCCCTTCCTGAAGTGCGGCGGCGGGCCGGATAAATGGCCTCAGGGGGCCGCATGCGGCCCGCGGGCCGTAGTTTGGAGACGCCTGGCTTAGACCTAAGGGTAGGAGGGGGTAATCTTTCTGTGCTAAAATAGAAAATGTCCCCATCACTCCTGGACACCTATTCACTTTGCTGCAAGAAGTAAAGTGCTATAAGAACCCCTATTTGCCTTGACCCCACCGTTTCTCTCTCTCTGGGTCCCAGTCTCCCCACCTGTGCTGAAAGACTCCTAAGAGCTCCTCCAGCTCCAGAAGTCTTCCTGTTTGATCTCATTGATCTTTCTTATTCTGATCAAAGTGCTGTGGGGTCCCTAGAGACCTGAAACTCACAGCCCACTGTGGACAACCCAAGGACCCTTTCAATTGGCTCCTGCTTCCCTCTAGAGGTGGGCATTGGTAATGCAAGAAACGCCACACTCCACTCCATCCCAGCCAGCATCTCAGTGATACTAAACGCTTAC